GAAACTGGCAAGAGACACACACCTTCTTCCTGCCATTACGTCACATCCTGGCTCCACCCCTATGTGGCTGTAGCACTGACACCCCAATCCAAGCACTAGACAATGAACCAATCACAAATGCACAATGCAAATGCATGAGGTCTGGGGGCCACAGACATAAACCATGACATGCACTGTGGTTCTGACATTGAAGAGGAGGTTGACCCATTACATGGGTGTTGGTTAGATGCCAGCTGGTAGGTTTGGCCTTTTTTTTTTTACCTTTTTTTTTTTTATCGATACCAGGGATCGAACTCACGACCACCTGCTTACAAGGCAGGTGCTTATGCCACCGAGCTAAATCCCCAACCCTAGATTTGGCCTTTTAAAACCAGGGTATTCTAGTTCTTTCACCCCTGCTGTTCATTCAGAATCATAAAGAGAAATACAGGGTACAACAAAACAGATGACAAGAGATGTGCCCTTGTCTATAGGACCAGGCAAGGCCATCTGGGGAAGTGACAGTTAGCAGGTTACCTGGAGAGTGGGGGGGTGGCATCCCATCCCACTCAGATGGCGTGGACTCTGCCAAGGACCTCAGGGGTGAGGCTTCCAAGGAGTCTGGTTCAGTCTGTCCCTGGCCCATGTCCTTGCAGGAGACCTGCCCATAGTTGTGCTGCCCTAGAGATGGCCACGGGGAGGGGACAGGAAGGAAATGGCTGTGCTTAGCTGCAGTGATGCCCAACGTGTTCAGGGAAGAAAGAAATGGAGAATGGGGGAAATGAACAAACGCCCAGAGAGACCTAGTTTCTAGGACCGTGGAAATTAAAGAGGATATGTCACAGTTCTGACGTTTCACCACAGTTTAGCTGACCTCAAGTCACAGCTAGAAAAAATGGCAAACCTCAGACTCAAAGAAAAAATACTTTATATACACATGGAAGAGAGAGAGAAAGTTCCACTTTATTGTATGAATCAGTTGGAACTCACCATATATTTACTCAGTTGTGCATAGCAATTACCAAACAGCTAAATGGTCAAGAATTTCTATAAAGTAAAACACAGCTACCTGATATTTACATTTTAAAAGCTCCTCTTTTAGCACATGGTAATGTAACCCTTGGCATGGAGGTGCCCCATTGACACGGAGGCTTGAGTGACAGGAGGGATCAGCCACTGTATTTTGTTTCCATTGGGATCACATCACCAACCTGTAATTTCTCCATATTAGAAAAGTAGTGCTTGACTTCCAAGTAATAAGCAGTTGGAGGATGACTTCACCCTGTGGCCACGTAACACTAAGCCCTTTAGATACCCTCTGGGGAGAGATCAGAGACGGACCTGCGTGCTGTGCTCACTGGGAGGTAGGACCCTGGGTTCTCTGTGACAAGAATCAAGCTATCTTTCTGCCATGCTTTATGTAGAAGCCCTACCTATCACTTGACTTCACCCCTGAGATCCGGGGGTTCAAGTAGATTGTGGCCTCTGTCCAAGGAGGAGCATTTCCAAGAGTCTTCTGCATGAAAACAGCCTTCCTGAGGGACAGACATGGTATCTATGAAGACTTCAGGACACAATGAACTGCACGTAGAAATCTATTAACTGGAACACAGTTCAAACACACTCTGTTAGGGGAAGTCCTGTCCAGACACAACACTTTGTTCTTGAGAAGTTTCGGGCATGAAAGTTCCGAGATCCAGGTAAAGGCTGGCGATGATTCATGGTCCCAGAATCCCCAGGGAAACTGCGTTCAGGAGAGTGTTGCACCTGCTGCCCAACCCACCAGAAAAAAGGGACAGAGACCGAGAAGCGGGGATCTGGGGCTTGTCACTTTACATTTAAGTCCGGGTGAACAGAGATCAGAACCGAGCATGACCAGTGGCTCGGGCAAAGCTTGGGTCTGCTTCTTGGTGTGTGCTGTTTTCTGTGGGGTCCTGAAGGGGTGTGATTCTAAGGAAGGAGCTGATGACCTTAATACTCGGAGTGTCGACGTGCAGAGCTGGGTTGTATCTGGGGAGGCCCCAGGACACAGCATTGATGGTGAGGAATAGGAAGTTGGCCAGAAAGGTGGGAAAGTTTCCTAGGAGGCAAGAATCACCATCCACCCAGGTTTCAAAGAACCTGAAGGTGTGGGATGGAGGCGCCTGAGCCGCCCTTCCCAGTGGCGAGGCCTAAAGCCTAGAAGGGGTTCGCTTCACTTGGGAAAGGCCTGCTCTTGCCTGGGGCCACCTGGTGAACCCTGTTTTCCTGCCACAAAAGGGCTGGGACAGGAGTGGACACAGGCAGGGCCAGCAATGCCTGGTGATGTGCTTTTTACAGTTACTGAATGTGCTGTCTGTTCACGTTGGAGTTTAGCTCTGTTATCCTCTTACAGGCAGGACAGTCCATTCTCGGGTGAACAAACAGATGCCCACAGAGCTTATGCAACTGCTCTGTGTCCACGCAGTGACTAAGTGGTGCACAGAGGCTGATTGCTTTTCCTCCTGCACGCAGGGCCCCATCAGTCTTCTCTATGGAAAGCCTGCGGGCTTAGTGCTGGCATTCCGTGATGTACCCTGCCCGATGCTGTCTGCAGACTGCACAAAAACCCAGCTGGCTTTGTCAAGTTGACAATGGATGCCACCACGGTCCCGAGGACCGACAGTCCTGGAGGATGAACTGTGGCCTCTTGGCCTGGTGTCCAGGGAGATGCCTGAGTGATTGATCACCCCAGCGGGCCCTGGGATGATCTGGTTCAGAGAGCAAAACTAGAGGTCCTTGGGGAGACATCAGGCCAGAAGCGTGCCCTGCAGGAGACTAGGAGACAGCTCCCTGCACAAAAGAGCCGCACAGTTAAACAGAACCAGAAGATTCAATTAAAATCACGTACAACCCGAATTTCATTTTACGGTTTTATCCTAATCTCCAAAAGGGGCTTAAGATTTCTGTTTCATATTGTACACCGGAAAAGATACTTCCATAGCTTATTTGAGTTCTGTCGCTCGTATTTGCCTTTCAAAAAAAATTCTCATATTCAATTCTGTATCAGGTTATTTTAATTAGTTTTTCTATAAAAATACATTTGCAGGCATATTCTGGCTTAAGATCTAATGGAATCATAGTTTGTAAATGCTCAGTTAAAGATGTAGGTAACTATGATTGTTCCTTCAATGAGTTCTGTGGAAATTTGTTCACGGAAATTAGATTTTTGATGCGGCTTCATTTCCCGGGTGCCACGTTATCATCTCCTCAGCTGCATTTTCAGTGGCTCCTTGGAGCGGATAGAACCTCCATGTTAGATTGTTTGGGGAAAACAGTGTCGTATTGTGAGCAGACTCCAGCCACACTATGCTGCCATTAGAGGAACGGGACAGATTTTCCAAGGTTCAGTGCCATCCTGCCCACACCGACCTTCCAGGAGCTGCGGGCTGGCTGTTCCCTGCCTAGGTGACAATTGATTTGGAAGCCATGCAGGACTGAGGCTTGGAAGCTGGGAGTTGCTGGGGAGGACAGGGCTGGCAGAGGCAGCTTGGAAATTGTCAGTGCCTAATTGCATGGCTGCCAGGTTATCACTATTCACGGGGTGCACGGGATCACATTCATGCACTGACAGCCAATGCTGTAGGGGAATGGCTGGGTAGAGAAGCACCTTCCCGAGACGAGAGTCAGAGCCTCATCAGGATGGGGACAGAAGCAAGTCTCCCTAAGTGTCTCTCCATCTCTCTTTCCCTGCTGGATGCCCCTTCAGTCAACTTATTAGTAATGGTCACAGTGGCCGCAGGGCAATTCGGAGTCTGTAAACCCATCTAAGAGCAGGCCAGGGCCTGCTGAGCTGCAGCAGTGTGCACCACTGAGGGTTGCACTTGTGGCCATTGGCTCTTTGGAGTTAACCTCAAGGCCAGTGACTGTGATCCAAATGCCCCACATGAGCAGGGGAAGGAAGATGCTAGAGCTCAGGCAGCCAGAGGATTGACTTGCATGAGATGATGTAGGAGCCATTGCTGTCCTTGGACCAATCCAATAGCTCATGTGCCCTGAGTTTGTAGAAAGAGGAGGAGGATGAACGCAAAGCAGCCAACCCCAACAGGATCACGGGACAGCACAGATCAGGAGGGAGGACACTGACAAACCTCAGGACCCTGTAGCCATGTCCTAAAGTCTAGGCTGAAAAGTATAACACGGAAGGGAAGGGAGAGGACTTCCACAGCGGGCCAGTCTTTGCTGGGCACTTGGAGCCAACTTATGCCACTACAAAAGTGAGTGGTGAGGAGGCCAGAGCAGAGCTGATCCTGGAGCCTCCAGCAGGGTTGTCCTGGTCCCCCAAAGACTCACAGGTTCTGTGCCGGGGCTGGGTGCGCCACGGGGCACTCAGGGGAAGAGCCTGCAGTTTCCATGCTGGCAAGAGGATGCTAGACAGGGCAGCAAAATAGCTGGAGTGAGACCCGCAGGGCGAGGGACAGGGGCCCAGAGCTGGCCTGGCCACCTGCGCCTGCCTGTGGGCAGGCATGGAGAGATGGCTCTGCACTTTCCCTTCAGGACTGGGATCCTGAGCCAGGTGAGGCAAGCCTCCAGCTCTATGGTGCTACTCTCAGGCAGTCCCGTCACGGGCCAAGCATGGTGGCAGGAGGCACCCCCTACCTAGGCATGTCTTCCAGGGGGGACCTGCTTTGGGCACCTTCGCTGTGCTGTCTGCTGGGCTAGCAGCACGTGTGTGCTCCAGCCTGACCACGTCTGCCTGCTTTCTGGTTCTTTCACAGGAATGGCTCCACGAGATGTATTTGTTATTTCTTATTCATTTCAGAAGCTGTGCCCTTGAGAGTCTAGCTGGTACCAGGGCTCTATGCTTCGGTCTCCTCATTGCAAATTAAGTATAATAAATTTAAAAATTAATTGATTGCTGTTGCAAGAAGAAATTGTCATCTAAACCACTTATCAAGTGACCTCCCTGCCGTGGTTTCTGCAGAGTCAAGACCAGGAAGTTCAGATTGTGCTATTTTCTCTAGATATAAAGCTCTGTTCTGCCTTCTTCACCTTTCTTCCAGCATCTGAGAACTTCGACGTGTGCTGCCCTGCACACCGTGGCCCCAGGAACTGAGGCTGGCCCTGGAGAAAGCTCGCTTCCTGAGATTCCCACACACAGATCTCTGGCCTAGACATCCTTATTTATACCAAAGCACAGTTAATCAGCAGAGGAAGAGCAGGAAACCAGAAGAGAAAGCCTCGGTTATCGTGACAGCAGGAAGGAGTCAAGGCCACTGGAACGCAGATTTGGGTGCTCCAGGGAGGACTACACCCTTGGTATCTCAAGCCAGGAGTGAGGAGCACCGTGGGACATTTGTGCTACTTGCCATCCACAGGGCTACGGCTATTTCAAGGCGAGGAGACCTTGTCAGCAAAAGTTGGAAGTTCATGAGCTCCTGATGTGAAACACACTGAGAGTCACGGACCAGTTGTATTGTTCACGAGACCCCTGAAGCTGTACCAATCTTCTGCTGAGGTATCCTGGGAAAACTACCTTTTCCCAAGGCACTGCCAGTCCCCGGCAGCAGTCACAGTGACAGTCACAGAGAAAGTGTCCCAACACCCATATGATGATCCCAAGGGACAGTGTGGGGTTTAACTGCGTCTCCCAATCCTTACTGAACTGGATGAAGCAGAAGCTTTGCCTCTCTTTTTCTTTCTGGTTTTCTTTTCTTCTTTTTGTCTACTCTTTTCACTGCTTCCCTTCTTTCTCTACTTGCCTTTTTCTTACTAATTACCCTGCAGTTATGAATTCAAAGAGATTTCCCAAAGTCTTGGTAGGCTTTGGAGATACCTAGAGGATTAAGATATCACAGTCATTGCCAATAGTTCCTTATTCAAGAAGCATTAGATCAAAACAACTACAACCCCCCAAAGGTTGATCCCCCACACCTTGGGGTGATTAGGGAAGGCTGTACCCAACACTTACAGTTGTAGGCTAAATCCTGAAGACCTATAACGAGGCTTCTGAGTGGAACGGAATGGGGCGAGAGTGGTGGGAGGGAATGGCGCTAACTTTTACCATGACTTCACTGTGTCTCCCCAAAAGCTGTGTGCTGGAAATGTAATATCCAAATTCATCATTGGTTGCATTTGGAAGTTGGACCTTTGGAAGTAAGTTAGGATTAGATGAGGTTGTTTGTGAAAGACGGGTCTTCAGGTTATGTTAATGGCTTTATGAGAAAGGAGGCCCAGAGCTACTAACACGCATTCTGTGTCTCACTGTGTGATGGTCTTCTTATAATGTAGCAGAAATGCCCACACCCTATTCTCATACTTCCCAGGTCTCTAGACTTTTAACACAAATAAACTCATATTTATAAACTACCCACTTTTATGTATTTTTGTTATAGCAACAGATGATAGACTAAAACAGACTATAATAGGGTGCTGGCAGATGAACAGCAGTGAAGGTAACTATTCCAAAGAAAGCCAAACAGCAATTAGAGCATCTGAGAAGTAACTTTAGAACAATTCCTTCCATGTAGGACGAGGACTCAGGGACCCGCAGGCGTGAGAAGTAAGCACTGTTCTTTAGAGCAGGGGTCCAGAAGTGGATCCTGCAGGGTTTGTGAGCGAGAGACAAACCCTCTCACCCAAACAACCTCATCCAATCCTAATTTACTTCCAAAGGTCCAACCTCCAAATACAACTACTGTATGAATTTGGATATTACATTTCCAAATGTAACCCTGTCACATTGCAGGGGTGTGAACCACAAATATTTTTCACAGATAATCTTCACTATTTTAAACAGGACAGAACAGGAACCTGGACCCTTAAGCCTGTATTTGCGTGCTTGGTTTTGACTTATGAATATTATCCCTCTAAAGAAAGAGGACTCCAGGGACTTCCCCATCCTTACTTCCTCTCTAAACTGATGCATATTCTGAATCCAGAGACAACCACTGGTTTCTGTGTAACTTAAGTAAGATTCAGAAATGTGGTCTGACTGGACAAAAATCAAGACAAATCTAAAAAACAAACAAACAAAAACTAAGAAACACCAAGACCTCAAAATTGAGGAAAGATATTCTCTAAAAATACACAATTACTCTCATGGGCGACATTTCAGAGAATTTGTTCTCTAAACAGTACCTCTGGCAGTGGCTGGGAATGCCTGTGGCTAAATTGTTTTCTAACCCTCATTTGCCATTTTCATTGACTCTAATAAATCACATTCCATTTATCACCATGCTCTAAATTTATGTTTATTCACTCATTTTCTATGTTTTTCAGACCCTGCAGATTTAATAAAATGCTAAATCTGAGTAGGTTGTTGAACAAACTTATGTAGCAGATTGGCATTTATAGTTAAGTGCTATCTTCACTCACATTCAGCTCAGGTCAATCACCACAGACACAGCTTTTCCCTCTGGCTGTGGCATCTGCATGTCAGCCCTCTGGTAGAATTCTCAGCTCTCTGCACCTGCCATCACCAAGGTTACTATGATGCTGAGTGATTCTTGCAGTGTATGTATCAGTCAGCTTTCCACTACTGTGACAACATACCTTAGATTAGTGGCTTTAAAAGAAGAAAGGTTTATTTTGATTTGTAGCTTCAGAAGTTTCTGTCTACAGCTGGCTCAGTTGCTTATAAAGGCCACACCCCCAATAACCTACAGGCCTCCCATGAGGCCTCACCCCCTCAAGGTTCTATCCCCCCATTCTGCCCTCAGTAGCACACCTGCTGGAGACCAAGCCTTCAACACTGGGCCGAGGAAGTCACTTACCCAAACCATGAAGCAGTGTGCTGAGGTTCCCGTGCTCTGCTGGAAACTGTCCTGTAGCAAAATGCAGCTTCTATTTCTCCCTCTGCATGGTTGGACAAAAGAACCAAAATTTCCACACCCACTAAATCAGTGATAAGCATCCAGCAAGGTGATGTTTAGGGAGCCAGAGTCCTGCCCGAGTGTTGCTCATGAGATTCCTCACAGTCAGACACAGAGCTCCATCTCAGTCCTCTGAATCCTTGGAGGGAAAGATAGCTCTCCACACCCAAGTCATGGATCAGTAGAGTCCTTTCCTCATGTCCTATGTGCCTTTCTGCTCCTGGCTGTCTCTCTCACTTTCTTGCTGTCTGCATGTTTGTTCATCTTTTTCACACAAACACACACACACACACACACACACACACACACACACTCACATTCACGTGCACACTCTCCCTTCTGTTCTATTCATTACCATGCCTGCCTCCTTGTTTTCAAAAGAAAGAAAACAATCAAGAACATTTCCACCCAGTAAATCTATCTCCTGAATAGGCTAATATATTTCCCCCAGCACACTGTGTGGGAGGTCAAGTGATAGCAGAGGTTTTCTAGGACTGCTGGAGAGAGAATTTTATATCTCCTATTAGATGCTGAGCTTAGATGCTCAACGAGCAGAGAGGTGCGATCATTAACTTTTTATTTTAAGGATGTAAACCAGAGGAGGTTATTGGTCAGTCTCATCCAGAGGAACAAATGAGAAATATTAGTCAGGCTTCCCAAATGGCCATGAGGTGCGTGACCTTGGACAAGTGATTAAACGTATTCCTCTCGACTTTATCAAATGGGATGACAATCATATTTTCTTTATTGTAAGACCATTATGAAAATTAAATGGAAAACTGCTCCCCGCCCTGGAACACTTCTGGGAATAGAGAGCAAGCACTCCCTGGATGTTTGATGTTAATATTTTTGTTTCTTAGCCTGACAAAAAAGATGTCAAACACACAATCACAAGAAAAATAGTATTCTAACATATGTCTCTAAATTTCCACGGCAGGTTTTCTGTTCCTTTGACAATTCTGTAACATTTCCAAGCATAGTTATGTGTGCCCCAGGGAAAGTAGGGCATTGGGTTGAGATGTAGGGGGAGTGGTCCCCTGTTTCACATTCTACCATACAGATCCAGCACGAAAGGCCCAAAGATCATGTTCCATCTAATGAATCATGCAATCCGTTCTGTGCTTTACTTTTTCACAAATGAAATGTTAATGCTGGAAAGATCATTTACATATGGCCTACTAGTTATTTAAGAAAACAACAATTAAACATGTTGAGATAATTAACAGTGTGCACATGATTAACAATGCTTTTTAGATGCTAGAAATTAATGGCGGAGATGCCAAATAAATGTAATCCCACACTTCAGCTAGCATTTCTTCGTTAATTACATTAATTTGCAAATTTAAAATAACAATCACATTCATTCAAACAAAATGAGTATCTTAAAAGTGGAAACAATCAAGGGGTCTGTGCTTTGAGAGTGGAATGTAATGGATTAACCTTGTATCCCCTCTAGCACTGGAGGACAGAGTAATTAAAGGCGAGAAATAACCTGCACCACTGCGGGCTGTCCATAGTGGACTCATCCAACCCTGTCCTAAGCATAATTTGTTTTCTAGCTAACTCTCCTCCTGGCATCCAATGAAAGGGAACTGTTCTGCAACTGTGATTCTTGCGCCCTTCCCTGGGTCCCAGTCCTGCACTGACCTCACCACACAGTATGAATTCTAAACAAGGCCCAGTCATATGCCTTGGGCCAAATCCTAGCATATGAGCCACCCCATCCACTCAAGGTCACAGCCACTTGGCCCAACCCCTGGGCTGCCCTCAGATCATCCATCATGGTCTATTTCTGAGGGAGTGGCCCAGACATGACTGCAACTCGGTCATCCGTGGACATCTGACCCTCCAGTGTCTGCTGAGCAACCAGCACAGGAAGAAGTCTCCTAGGACACAGCCTGGGCCAGGGTAGATCTGGACAGACCAGTTCTGCTGCTCCCCAGCTGGGTGGTCTTCAACAAGATCTCTAACTTGTAAAATAGGGATAGTATGTTATTAGCTACTTCAAGGAGTTATTTTGGGATTGAAATAAACCCACCCTTGAATGTTAATTTTTTCCCACTCGTTGTGAATGTGATTAAGCTGTATCCAGGCAGCTGCAGCAGGGTTCATTTAACTTGGAAGGGAGGAAGGAGGAAAAGAGATCCAGAGAGGGGAACTGAAGTTCTTCAGTTGATTATTGCGGGGATCTATAGCCCACAACATAAGTCTGACTCTATAGATAGATAAAGGTCAGGCTAGTAAAGAAGAATTTCAAAAGGAAATTGTGGGGAAGTCACTCTGGCACATGATAACTGGGATCTGGCTTTGATTCTGAGTATTGTCACTGAAATGGGATATGATAGATATGGTGATTAAAGGTAGAGAGGGTTTGGGACCCTGGGGTGGGCCTGGGGGGCCAGTGAAGCATGCTAGGGGTGTCAGGGCGGGTCATGGAAGTCTGGTCCCTTGCCCCTTCCTCTCTGACACTGTTTCTCGCTCAGCTTCATGGCCACCATGAGCTACGCAGTGTTTCCACCACGCCCATCCATCATGGTGTTTCCATCTTGGAGCTGGCTGACCATGGCCTGAACCCTCTTAAAACCTGAGTCAAATTAAAGTCCTCCTTCTGTAAACTGTGGACTAGGGGTACTGTGTCCAGTGCAGGAAAGCTGTCCGACCCAAGAGAGAAGTGGATCAGCATCAACTGATCATCCGTGTGGGTTTAAACCTGTGGTATTCCACTCACAGCTCTGATTTGAGCTCATATCTATCTTCTGTGTTTTCAGAATGCTAGAGGTCAGGCCTAGGGCTCCCTGCCTAGACTCTCCCCCAATCCCCACCCCACTGTGCCCGTGTGAGTCCCAAGAGGTGGACTCCTTGGTGGCTGGTTGTCAGCATTCTTCACATGTTCTTGGGATCCCTTGTGTCACAAGGCTCTAGAGAGTGCTGTCAGGCTGAGAGAGGACCATGGTGACCCTGAGTGGACCTCCCTGTGCTGCAGCCCCAGACTCACAGTAGTGCCCGTCACTTCCTTCCCAAAGCCCACCTCTTTGTCACGAACAGAGCTGAGCTTGGGGTTGTTGGCTGCAGTCAGATACGTCTGGCTCCATTTTCAAAATTCTCCTTCTGACCTTGCACAAAATATGCTAACTTGAGCTTCTGTGTACAAAATAAGTTTTTTTAGCCAAAACTGGATCTGAAAAAGAAGCAAAATTTCAAGTATTTTGTCATTTGTAGGCTCTCACTGCATTTCTTCCCTGTGCCTGTCTCAGACCTCCTTACACCCCATCATCTCCACAGCCTCAAACCTTCTTATAGGTTACTCAGACTTGTCCCAATAATTACCCCCTCCACAAACTGTCCCCGACTGCATTCCTCCCACCAAACACGGCTTCGTCCAGAAGCTTCCATTGTCACCATCACCCTGAGCACTGACTCTCTTCATGTGTGGGGAGCCCACGGTGTGTCACATCCCTCCAGGCACACACTACATCTTGATCTTCATGCTCTCATGCTGTGCTCATCTGTTCATGCCCAGAACTAAATTTAGCTGGACTCATTACCCAGTCAAGATGTTGGGGACTCATGGAATCCAAGCTGCTTTGATAATTCAGGAAAGAAACACTTGTTTGATAAATCCCAGTACATCTTCGTTAGCATGGGCCCTGATAAAACTCTTGGTGTGTCCCATCTACACTTCCTTGAGAGGACTGAGGTCCACCGAGAGCAGGCAGTTTCCCCGGACTCAGTTTACCATGCTCATCTGCAGCCCCGGACAGAGGGAGGAAGGCCAGCCACTGGTGCCCCAGGGTGTGATCAATGCAGAGCCCGTCAGAGCCTGGTCATTCACTGCCACTTCTTGGATCCCATCACAATTCAGTCGGAAGTGAATTTTCCTCTGAAATTTCTGCTCCTTTGCCATTTTGCTGTATATGGAATGGCGCTTCTCAAACCTCTAGGTTTGAGCCTAGGGATCCCCTGGGGACACTGATTCGGCAAATCTAAGGCTGGCCCTGTGGTTCAGAGTCCAGCAGGCTCCCAGGTAAGCCCTGCCCTGCTGGTCATCCTTAGCTTCTACCACACTGCACGATACCTGGTTGGTCTTTTGAAGTGCCTGTTCCAGGTCCTTCCCCAGACTATTTAAGCCAAAACACACATGAGCCCCAGGCTTTGGATTTTATAAAATCTCCTCTTGGCTTCTGATGGGCAGCCAAGGTTGAGGACTATTTTTCTCAAAGTTCATGTTTGACAAGTGCTCTCACAAACTAGTTTCAAACTGTGGCCACTAAAAGAGAAATTTGACAAAAATGAAAATTTTGGTGACTGGGTCCATAAATTGTTGTCTATGCAATGAATGATATACTACTCAGCAATACAAAGCAATAAAGTACAGTGTTATAACACAGACAGACCTCAGGAGAGTGAACTGTATGGAAAAAGGCAAATGCAAGAGACAAGAAGGATGAGTTTATGGGCAGAAAACACATTAATGTCTGCCTAGGCCTTGGTGCAGAATCTGGACTCTGAGCACACGTTATCCTTGTGGGGCGGTGGTACTCCTCCAGAACTAGACTATGCTAATAGTTTGCACATGTAGGTAAAGTTTCCACTGAATTGCATGTTTTAAATCCTTGACCTTTGCAGTTCTAAAGTATATCTCAGGAAAACTATTACAGTATGCAAAGTATATGCCAGTGGAAAATGCAAGTTCTCTGGCTTCTTCTAGACCTGTTAAGTCTATAGTAGGATCCAGAACTGTTTGTTTATGCAGCTCTTCAGGAATCTCTGAGCGGCACCGACACTGTGGAACCCCTGGCCTGGGCAGGAAGATCTTGAGAGGTGCCTGCAGCTGAGGCAGTGGTTTGGGAGAAGTTTTAGGGTACAAACAGAAGAAAACTCCTCTGAGAAACTGTCAGATGAGAACAAAACAGCACTCCGCACTGTGGCATGAGAGGTCTTAGAAGGTAACCGCAGGAAAGCTTACATTCCTCACCTGAATCATCACTCTTGATGGTTGGATGAACTTGGGGAGGCTATTTCCCTTTCCTTAGGCTGTGCAGCCTCTTTCATAATGGAAATTTAAAAAGTATGTGTTTCTGGTCTGTGGTACAGATAGAATCAGAAGTCAGACCCGAAAGCTTTCAACAGTAATAAATCTATACTATGCCCTTATACAATATACATTGTGAGCAGTAATTGTGGGCCTTTTTTTTCCCTTCATATGAACTGCTATAATTCAGTCTCTTCTGAAATTTTCTGTTGCACTGGGGACTCTTCATGCTGCTATATTTAGAAAATTTTTATCCCAGCAAATGCATATTTTTCTGGATCTTTCTTTGCCTTCAGGTATTATTTAAGACTGCTTATTTTTCAAGCCATTCATATCTGCTACATTTAAAAAAGCTTTAGGACAAGGCCTTGGATTCAGTTTCTTCCTCTTCATTATAGCAAGAGCAGAAATGGTATGTTTACTGGAGAAATTGCTACCCCTGAAAGAGCTCTGGGCCTTATCTTGGGTGCGGGAAATTGCTCTCTGTAGACCTTCAGCTAGTGAGTCGGAAGAGAACACACACGGGTTCCCTAAATCCAGCAAAGGATGTGCTAGGAGAACTAGCCTCCCACGCAAAGAGGCAACACAAAGCAAATAGAATCAGCCTTCAGTAGAATATATTGTAGGGTGTTATAGAGCACTCTATAGCAATTGAAGCTCAAGTCAAGATGTAATCAACTAATCATTCGTAATCATTTGTAATTCTGATGTGAATCAAGCTAATTTTCAGGCAAAGAGCCCATCACATGGTCCCACTGAATTGCAGGCATGGGTTTTGTGAAGAATAACACTTGGATCCAAGGACCAGCCTTGGAGCTACACCACGGAGCAGCGGGACACAAAACCATTCTAAATCCTCAGACCTCTTGTGCCTCTTTCCACCTTATGCAGCCTGCAAAAAAAATAGAGCTGTGTTCTTCTCTGCTGACCTTTCATGTGCTCAAAAAGCATTCTCTTCAATAGGCTGTCTTCCAGTGCTCAGTTAACATACCATGATCCAAACAGAAGACTCCATCTCAGCCGATATAATTTATTTGCCATCTCTGTCCCATTCTAAGGTTCTCTAAGGAAGTGTCCAGAGCCCATCACTGATATGTTCTGCACAGAGAATGCTGCACTTTGTAGCATAGCACCATGCATTTAACAAGTTCCATAGACAGATGATGTGGACCCTGCTCCTGGGAGGTGAGCATGATTGGCTGAAACTTACCCAGAAACACATGAGAGAAACCATGCGCCAACTCATGAATTTCAAATGCTTGAGTCCATGCTC